TTTCCTTGTGATGTGCTGTTGAGATTTCAACTAGCCCTCTCATTTCATATAAATTCACTTTCTGATAAGGGCATGACCTTGTGCTCAGCACATCCTGAACTTCCTGTGGAGGGATGCAGACACAGTTGGGGATGCTGCACTCTGCTATAAAAGCACACGTACTGCAGGGACCCACTGCAAGGTCTCCCCTTCAGAGTGCTAACTAGGAAATGAAAGGAAGGATCTTCTTATGACTGCAAACTCAGGACTCTTCCCGTTTCCGGTAGAGACAGATTACACATGAAACAATCCATTACTCTCTTCTGCTCTTCTGACTTTTGTAAATTATTCTTTGTGTTTTCTGTCATATTATAATACTAGCAGCTAAAGGTGAGGCATATGATAGAATTGTTTTCAACATGCAACAACAAATGTTCATGCTCCATCTGAATGGGTTTTCGACATGCTGTTTTACTATATTCATTGTTTCTGCTATTGTAGATTCCTGTATGTCAAAATAAACGAACTGGGCATGATGACACATGCCTCACTTAAAACCATATGGGAGGCTAATACAGGAAGCAATCTGTGATAGATATATAAAAACAACTTGTAACCAAAAACTAAAAGTATTTTAGAATATAGCCATTCTGCCACCTCTAGTAGAATTCTCCAGCTCATGGTCTTGCTTGGCTGCCAAGTATGAAGAAGGTGGAAAGAGAGTCTCATTTTTCAAACCATGAGTAAATTTTATGAGAGCAATACTCAGATACTATTTCAGTTTAATAAATTTATTTACCTCAGGACATTAAAACAAAGTTACCAATTCTTTTTTGTTAAAGCTATTGACTCATTAACACTCACCATGTGTTTTATTTACAGCTACAGAATGATCCAGAATACAGAAACAAAATTAAGGCACAAGCCATAATATACCCTAAGCTACAGGCAATTGATACAGGGATGCCATCTTATCGAGAGTATGAAAACGGTCCCTTTTTGTCAAGGAGGTTAGCAATTAAGTTGTCAGCCCAATATGTAACAGAAGATGAAGAACTGCCAGAGGCAATACTGAAAAATGAGCACATGCCTGAAGGATCAAGAGACTTGTTCAAGTTTGTGAACTGGAGTCACTTCCTTCCTGAGAAGTATAAGAAGAACCATGTTTATAGGGAGCCTGTTCTTGGGAAGCTGAATGCTTCCTATCCAGGACTTCTGGATAGTAGACTGTCACCTTTGTTAGTCAATGACTCCCAGTTACAAAATTTGCCATTAACTTATATCATCACATGTGAACATGACATCCTAAGAGACGATGGACTTATTTATGTCACCCGACTCAGAAATGCAGGAGTTCCAGTTACACATGAACACATAGAGGATGCAATCCATGGAGCCATATCATTTGTCACAGCACCAATGTATTTACATTCAGGTTTGAGAGTAATAGATAAGTATATAAGTTGGCTACAAGAAAATCTATAAATCAAATGTACATATAGCTAGGTAGTCAGTTAGCTAACATTTTCACCTAAAGGTTATAATTTAAAGTATTTTAAAATTAAAGAGTTTGAACATGATTTGAACTTTGGATAAACCTAATTTTAAGTTAGAATAAATATGGTTAGTATATTTGGGAAGCTACTTAATTTTGATAATTTAAAAATGGAGATATTCGTTTTATTGCCATCTTTAACACCATGAATAGAGATACTCTCTGAGAAATCAAACCGAATAATTCAGTACTAAAATGTGAGTACTGTTATATTCAAAAGGGCAGGAATCGAGGCAGTGACAAGAATGTGGTGATGAATGAGGAGGGAGAACATTGTAGTGGCATTTGTTTGCAGTGATCATTAAACTGTATTTCAGTCACAAGTTTTAGTTGTGTGTTGTTCATACAAAAAAAATCAATTTTGTCATTGTGAATTAGATCAGTATTTATTACATTCACTGTACGGAAGTCTATTTATTGCTTATTACTTACTAATATACTTTTCTGTGTATTGGGCACCAAGGTTAACGTCTTCACCACAAATTGTCCCAAAGCTTAAATATTTGAACCTTATTTAAACTTTAGTAAGATCAAGGCAGGTATGTGTAGCAGGCTTTCTTGGACTGCCAGCCCCCAAATCATAACATGGAGACTTGTTATTATTCATGAATTCTTGACCTTATTTTATGCTTCTCCCACTAGCTCTTATAACTTAGTTTAACCACTTTTCTTCATCTACATTTTGCCTTGAGGATTTTTAAATTTCTTAAATTCTCTAAGTCCTACTTCCTGCTTCCACTCTGTCTGTTGGCTGGTAGATGCCTGACTGGCTGGAGTGGGCATGTTCCTCTCTTTCTCCCTCATTCTCTCTGGAGCCTAGATTTCTCCTCCTGCTTATGACTGTCTGCCCACCAGTCCCATCTACTCCTCTACTGCCTAACTATTGACCATTCAGTGTTTTACTAGACCAATCAGGTGCCTTAGGCAGCCAAGGTAAAACCAATGCAACACTTCTTTCCATGGTTAAACAAATGCAGCATAAACAAATGTAACACACCTTTACATAGTTAAAGCAATATTCAACAACAGGAGTGAACCTCCTCATTGGCTATCTGATATCAAGTTGTCTACACTAGAATCACATATGTGGAAATAGCACTAAAAGAACTTAGCACATTGTCTTTATATATTTAACTGTGTGTGTGTGTGTGTGTGTGTGTGTGTGTGTGTGTGTGTGTGTGTGTGCAATTTGAGAGGGAATAGGGGACGTATAAATTTCGGGGAGAAAATGGAAGCTGATGTTAGGCAATTACAGTTTGATTTTTAAAAAAGCTGAAACTTCATTCTCTTTTAGGCAATGATTCCTAATCCAAGATGATACCTAGACAACTCTATATGGAGTCAGAATTATTCATAGTATTGTTTTCATATTTTGAAGTGCATCATTAGCCTACTGCATGCCTGACCTAGGAAGCCATCTGAGCTGATGATATGTAGGCCTAAATGCTTCTGTTATTATGGGACCCACACCTCTGCCAGTACCAACGAGAGCGTAAGTAACTGCATTTCCACTGGGAGGCGCTAAAATCATTGTCAAATTTTCTGTCTTGGTATTGCTGTTGTTTCCAAATGGTTGTTTTCACCTGTTTCACCCTTTTGCCTACAGCTGAGCAAATTGGAAAATTACAACTATCTGTGAATTCAGTTGATAAACAACCCTTATCCTCATTACATTCATTAATTTTCTTTCACTGTAGTTTGACATTTTTGTCACCTTAACAGTGACCTGATCATTGGTCTCTCTGACCTTATCATATGTGATTCTTCTTTGTCCTTTGAACAGTAAATTGTTATAGGAAAACCAGGAAAGCTTAATTACTGTTTCTGTATTTTTAATTTTACTCATGATAACTGTGAATTTAAAACATCTACAGTAATCTTTTTCTTCCTAAATTTATAAAACCAAAGGGTCACTAATCAAATAACTGTAAACAAGAACTGACAAAAGATTTTTTACATTATTTACTTTGGCAGACATGAAATAATTTTCAGATTTCTAGTTACATAGTAATTTTTGATAATCATATGGAAAAAATTCTTTGTGGAGGAAGATTTTACCTTGAGATTTACAAATGACCATGGATAAAATAATAGCACAAATGTTATGAACAAGAACAAGTCCTATGTAAGTGGCAAAAGATCGCAACACCATAGCCCTAGCTAAGAATCTATTGACAGGAGAATGCTACAAGGATGAACAGATTTTATTTACAGCGTGTGGTCCCTGGTAGCTTGACTATGTGTCAGTGGATGGCTCCACACATGTAGGGTTTATGGGTTCCAAAAATTGGACCTAGTGAGTTGTTAAAAACAAAACAAAACAGAATACATAAAACTGGCTAAGAATTTGGTTGTGAATCTAAGAGCAATTAGAGGTGAAGTATGTGGGTTAGTGTGATCAAAATGGATTGTGAGAGTCTCAAGAAATTAATAAAAGTATTATATTTTCATAGGTTGAACCATTCTTGTATTTCTAGGATGAAGTCAACTTGATCATGGCGGATGATTTTTTTTTATGTATTTTTGGATTTGGTTTGCCAGTATTTTATTGAGTATTTTTGCGTGTATGTTCATGAGTGAGATTGGTCTGTAATTCTCTTTCTTGTTTGAGTCTTTGTGTATATCATTATCAGGATAACTGTAACCTCATAATAAGACTTTGACAGTGTTCCTTCTATTGCTATTATGTGGGACAAGTGGAGAAGTATAGGTATTAGCTTTTCTTTGAAGTACTGGTAGATTTGTGGCCCTGGGCTTTTTTTGATTGGGGAGCTTTTGGTGACTGCTTCTATTTCCTTGCAGGTTATAGGTCTATTTAAATTGTTCACTTGCTCTTGATTTAATTTTGGTATATGGTGTCTATTTAGAAAACTATATGATCATATCATTAGATGCTGAAAAAGCATTAAACAAAATCTAACACCCCTTCACATATTATATATATATGTATATATATGTGTATATATATATATATAAAATCATGGATTAGTGCCTTGCTCAGTCACCATCAGAGAAGCTTCTGTCTGAAGCAGATGAGAAAAAATACTGAGACCCACATGCAGACAATAGACAGAGAATGAGAAACTTTTAAATACTTAGCACTAAATGTGATGTCTCCATCAAATCTATCCCCTCAGGGGAGCAGAGAACCCTGCAGAAGATGAGGCAGAAAGAGTGTTTTGAGTATGTATTATGGCTTTTGATTTTTTTATGGGATTGTTGAATGTGCTTCTTGTGCCTTTTCTTCAACTTTTCCCCTTCTTTTTGTTTGTTTTTCCTTATTAGGTTTCTTTGGTTTTCATTTTTGTATTATTTATACTTTATTCTATTATTCTTTATAAACCTTTTGTTTTTATTCTATGATGAGTCATTAAGGGTTGGATTCAGAGCGCGTGAGAGATAGGGAGGAGAAACTGGGGGAAGTAGAGGGAGGAAAACCATGATCAAAATATATTGTATAAAAGAATCTTTTTTCAACGAAAGAAAAAAAAAACACTTCTTTTTCATTTCAACATCTTTATCCATGAAGGAAATTCAAAATAAAACTGCCCTGAGATTTCACCTTACCCAACTCATAATGGTTAAGATCAGAGAAACAAATATGTGGAAACAGAGAAAGGGGGCCACTCACCGTTGGTACAGGTGCGGGTTGGCATAGGCACTAGGGCAATGTGTGGAGTTTCTGCACAAAGGTAGAAAGAATTCGCCATATGATCCAGTATACCACTCCTGAACATATTTCCATAGAACTCTACATTCTACTGCTATGTAACAAGACTCCTCCTAAGGAGGCCTTACTGCTCACCTCAAACTAGGAGTTGACAACAGACCAACATATAGGTAGCATCAAAGTCCAGCTTGATGAACCTTGAGTCTGATTAGAGTTATTTATGGGAATATGCGAGAAGGCTTTCGAACAGGAGCAAAAATGACTGAAAGGCAGTTGCATCACCAAAGCCCACACTGGTGTGGTGACAGCTCACAAAAGCTAGGAGCTTGTAGCATACTTCACAGCTTGCAGGCAGTTCAACAGGCTGGACAGTGTTCCATCCAAGTGACTCAGCCAATCTAAACAGCTTTCAGGTATCCCTGCTGGTGTCTCCTTCTTCTAGGCAGCTGGTATGTCTGATGCTTCCTTGCATCTTGCCTCATCTGAGAATCTTCTTTGCAGCTTGGCTTTTCTGGAAGTGAATCTCAGCCTGATAGCTTGTTTACATTTTGGAAAAGAGAGGCCTAAATAATCTAGTCAGTTTCAGGGACATCCTGCGACTATTTTGAGTTGTTTAACTTCCTGTTTTAAGGGGCTTTCCTGCAGGATGAAGTATTCCAATCACAGAAGACATGGATATACAATACCCTCCCAATAGATACTTACTTATCCATTTTCATTGCTGATTTATTCATAATAGGCAGGAAATGGAAACAGCCTAGACTTTGCATTAACTGATAAAATAACTAATGAAATTTGACACACAAACACAATGGAATATTAGTAGCAAAATATATGAAATACTTAAATGCACAACTAAAGGGATGGATCTAGAAATAATGGTTCTGAGTGTGGTAACTCAGGCCCCAAAACACAGCTTTTACATATACCCTTTCATGTGTTCTTGTTAACTCTAAAATTTTATTTAAAAAAATGTGTTTTAATTGGTGTACACATAGAAGTCAGAAACTAGTAAGGTCATGGGATGATTTCAAGAAAACAGATGGTATGAAAGATGAGAGGAGAATAATAGACCAGGAAGGACTTATGGGGTGAAGGATGGAAGAGTATGATAAGGAGAGAGTATGAGGAGGATACCAAGACAACCTTTTAAAAAGTCTTCTAGAAATTCACCATTTCAGATGCTTCCTAAAATATATGCATACATGAAATGAGTTTAAATGCAGTAGTTTAGGTCTCAGGAGAGCAATGTGTCTCCCAGATACCATTGTCTATTAAAGAAAAGGCTCGGAGCCAGGTCAGGGTGACCATTTTCCACTTTCGTGGTCAGTAAATCCTATAGTTCATCCCCAAAACTTGCAAGATATTGCAATTACTCTTGGATATAATCCAGAACTTGAAGATAAGACTGTTGCTTGAAGACATTTGGGTCACAGGACACGAAGAAATCAAATTAATACTGATCTGTAAGCTCCAGCCATGCTGGCTAGATTTCCATAAATGCCACTAGGAAGAAGTGTAGCCACCAATCCTTTAAAAATGTGTGAGCCCTATAATCTATTTAAAAAAAAAAAAAGACAACCCTCGGATCTGGCAAGATATGCACCCT